AAGTCGCGCTTCGACGTAAGGTTGGTTAGCAGATCGCGCCCTACATGCAAAATGGCATGCCGCCGCCTCTGATAATTCTACGTGTTTTTGCTTTGAATGCAAGAAAGTTCTGAAAAGTCGAGACATTGAACGTTACTTATGTAGGAAACAGCGTTTGTAACATCAGCAATTGTTTGACAAAAGATAACTAACTAAATACTGGTCCGACCCACGGCTGCCAAGTTCCTCCAGTCTGTGTCACGCAATATCTAATAATTACCGCTGAGGACGGTGTAATAAACTTGAACGGAAACTACTGTACGCGCGAGACATAAATTGCAAATCAAGTCTACATTAACATCTTCTGTTTTCGTAGCAACCAACTATTATAAAGTTTTCAGTGTTTATGAAAGTTATTACTGTTGTATCACGATAGTAGTTAGAGTATTGTGCACTAACCTGCAGAGCCCTCGTTTATTTCTTCGATAACCTGGAATGTTGTTTTCATTTCGGCCAATCGCTTAGCGTCGGCTGTAACTCTCTCCTCCTTGATCTTTTCCATTGCATATGAATCATCTGACAAAACATGAAAAGAGCGATCGTTGTTAACATTCAATTATTTATACAGAAAAAATGACTTGTCTCAACACAGTTCATGTTACACAAAATACTTGTTTACAATTTCATTATATCCTAAATTAGTATAAAGGCATAGTGGAGTAAAACAAAGCAGTGAAATATTAATACCGATAAGCTATACTGAAAGGATTTTGAATACGCGGCATTATGAAATAAAATACATAACGCCTATAATCTAAGCGGGAAAAACACTTGAATATTATCAATAGAAATAACACATCCTCAGTAGATATGACTATAATATTGCAAATAGATAGTTTTTTTCAAATAAAAATCTATCTAGTCAATGATACTAAGCTTACCTGAACCAATAACTTCGCATAGGTACTTATTTGTCTGATTACACTGTATGTATTCCCATTTAAAAGCGTTATCTGCAGTGGGAACTGCTACTACACAGTCTTTATCAATTGTATTTCCATCACTATCCGACCAAGGATACTTTTTGTTTCGTCGATATCGAATGGTTGGGTCAATCCAATGAGGGCTGCCTTCAATTGCCAACTCGTGTAAGCCAATCCACAATGTCTCTCCTCTGAAATACACAAATTATAATAATGTGTAATCAGGTAATCGACCGTTTTATGTAAATTACTTAACGACGTTATACTCTAGAGAGAAACACACAAACAAATTACTTTTCTCGAAATTGTACAATTTTATGCGATATAGCTCGTGGCGTTATGAGTTATATCACATTGCGCTTTTAGTTAAAACTAACTCGAAAAGATCAACTCTATGAACAATTGTTGAACCTTTTTCATAAGACAGAAGCCCACAGAGTTGGTCGAGGCCTTACTGTTGACCTTAGAAAGAGGATTCTCGGTGAAGCCATGTTATTGCTTGCATTATCTATCGTTTTACCAAGAGTTGAGATCTAAATACATCCCAAGTTATTATTATACACTTCCCTTACCCGAAAAATGTATATCACTATTACAATTACAAAATGCGGTAATCTTGCGTAACATTTCTAAATTTATTTTTCTCGCCACAAAAAACGTAATACAATTATTTTGGTCTGACAGTTCATGTTCTTTTCTTATTTTCTTGTTCTTTTTCAGTCACTGTAAAATGACATTATCCTCTGTAACATGTTATGTAATTACAATGAGTATACCTTGAGGCCGGAGGCCTACAGTATTATGAATAAATTTATTATAATTATAATGTTATTGCTGCATAGAACTGCTTTTCAAAAGGTAAGACACGTTTTTAACTTTTGGTTTCTTTTGACCAACTATTGTGTTAAATTATGGTAAAGTCAATTTATTAAATTGGTTCTCTCATTGTGAATTCATGTTCAAAATTGTGACTTATTTTTAAAATGGCTGTGTTGTAATTGCATATTTTTGTATCATCATATGTAACTAATGGCTTCTATAAAAACAGTAATGACATCCTGCTATTAGATTCTCTAATACATTCACACAGAAAACACATATCGCACAGCGTTTTTGATTACGATTTCAAATGCACCCTCGGATTGAACACCATAACACTGTCGTCTCGCACCTTGGGAGTGTCGGCTAAGTACTCAATAGAGTTCTCAATTGGCTGATATACATTCACTTATGAATGTAACTTTCGAGGAAATCGTACAGTATACGTCTGCGTTCTTTCAGGTCTGGTTGAAACAATTATAGAATATTTGCAACGGTATTTGGCAGCGATTTGGCACAAAGCACTAGTACTATAATGTAGTGCTAAAGATTGAATATAGTTGCTATGACAACATTTACTATATATACTTTTAATTGTACTTGCAATATAAGTTTTAGTCAAGGAATAAACATTTTGGTACTGTCGCCTAGCAGGAATAAATTAAAAAAAATACATTCCATTCACCAGTGATTCACATACCATGTAATATAAGTGCGTGATTTGTATTTACCCCTTCCCCCAATATTACATACCATATTGTGACTTTATCGGTGTGACCACGTACCTAACGCCCATCACGTTTCGAGATTATACTGTCTTGAAATATGGGCGTATCTGAACTTTTGGAGTTTTCCCGCTTTCCCCAATACGTGATATGAGCGAGAGTTGATGATAATATTTTGAAGTGTTGTCAATGAAATATTTATATAACCGTTAAATAAATTGGCAGTATTGAACTTCAGAAGTAAGTTAAGAGTAGCGACCATAGCAATGTCGCAAGAATATATTTGATCAATATATTATTTCATGTCATTCGTAAAATACAGTGTCACGTGACGCGTGACGTCATATGCATATTCGCGTCCATTGAGTAAGTGTTCAAATAAATATGAATGTTTGTTATTATCGAGAAATGAGAAACGAACAAATTACACTTTGTTTAAAAGTGTTGTCGCTCACGACAAAAATTCGGAGTGAAGGAATTTTGGAAATTCAATAAAATAGTTGTATATAATATTCAGAAGTATTGTTCTATTTACATTGCAGCGTTTAACTCAATAATGTTTCAGTTTTCAATTTTGTACTCTATTGAATCAATGTGAAAAAACATACGGCACCTTATGGTCAAAAAAATTAACTACGGAGAATAGAAATTAAAATGCAGTAATTGGTTCAGGAAGTAATATTTTTACTAACTATTTGCATGTGGTCATGTGATTGGAAGGTGGTACCTATGGTCTATTTAATGATAGCGTCTGAGAGGTTCAAAGTATAATTTGATATAGCTACGCATTTAATGAAGTATAATCTAGTGTTGATAAACATTCGCCAATTAATTATGCAACATCTTTAAGGAAATGTATCAAATAGGTAGGTAGGGTTTTAAAGGCATAACATCGGTGCTGTGGTCAACAATATTAATTGTTCATCGTTGTCGTTGTAGGAGGGACAGCGGTGCTACCATTGTTTATTTTAAGCTTAAAAACAATGGTAATTCACGTTAGAAAAACAAGACTCAAATTTCAATAATTTAGAGTGACTGCAGTTGACATTCAATGGAAGTGTTGGTCTCCATATGCTACAACTGATTATTTCAGTTTCCTCCCAAATAGAACAAGTTTTATAAAACAATTTTATCAAACTTTCATTGCCCATATATGTATTAATTCAACTACGTGTATATATATTTTATAAGTAACACGAAACTATGCGATCTACACTAGAATTAAATATACAGCATATGAGGAGATTACCTAACATTCTATATAGCTGCAGTTTGGTGTTTAAACTAATCAATGTGATTATGTTATTAAAAACAAAATTCAGATCACACAACGCAATAAACATAAACACGAGTATTCCGGAGGGCGAATATCCGGGCATTTCTACCACCTGGCAACCACAACCGCTGGAAATAACGGTCAAAAACTCTGATAAAATGTACTTTACGCTCGTTATTGTAACTCTTCTAAACAGTATAACAAGATTAACCATATATGAGCAACATATATATATATATATATATATATATATATATATATTTGATTGTTCAGGATTTCCTCATAGTTGAATTCGACCGACGTTTCACAACAGCTGGCACAGAGCCATGGTACAGTGGCGCGCGTTATCGCCCCAGAGAATGGCACCCAATGCAGCGCTTCCACAAACAACAACAGCGACAACAACATGTTTGCTTGGTTATGTTTTGTAAATTCAATAATGTGTGTGATATTCCCCGCACACATGTTAATAAGCGCGAATCCGTAATCTAGTAGTATTCGAGTGATGCCTGGTAATGTAAAACATGAACAAACTATATGTGTAGCTTCTCAAGACGAACGGTACATAACATAGATATCAACTTGCTTTCAAAACGAACTAATTGTTACCGTAAAAGGTTTAGTCCAACAATGTATATATGTGTGCTTTGTCGATAATGTTGGGTTCGAATGACCATTGCAAAGAAATCACAACAAAAGAAAAAAACAAAATGTATGCTAAACTGTGAATCATTGTCTTACCTTCTTGAAAGAACATCGACGTTTTATTACGTTACTCTTCTCCAATACGGCAAGATCACCGCCAATTACAGCGCAGTTCTCACGAGCATCTTCCCATCCACGTTCATCGTCAGAAATGAGAAAGCAGGTGCCAGCCATCCATACGTCACAGTCATCCTTCTCAAAACATGTAACTGATTGGGAAATTGTACTTATTATTTGATAACAATTATGACAAGACGTTGATATTGATATATGTATACGATATATCGGTGTTACGGAACAGCAATATACGTCGAACAAATTTCATTCCGTTACTATTCAGTCGAAACTTAACCTTGATTTGTTTTTATAAATTAACACCTCTGTCGTGTAAGATAAAAAATACCAGAAAAAAACGCAATATGAAGAAGGATCGAAGCTGTCTTAGTGCAGATTCTTTTGGGGGAAATTGACACTCCAGCACTGTACAATTCTAAAACGTGTATTGGCTGCAGGTTTACCACTTAATGGCTGGTCGGTCAGTATTTGTAGCATTTTTCCCATCAAATGCAACCTCAAATCCGCTACGCGCTTGAGCTTTGTAGATATGGAGTGGTCAGTGAGTCAGCTATTTGGTGTTGTAATAAATTTGGAAATAACGCGGAAATATGATACTATTTCGCGGCAAAGACTTTCGTGTACCAGTCACACTGGTGTCATTTTTTTTATCGCCCCACCCCAGATAAAATCGCATGATCTTTGCGGGATAGACGGCAAGAAAAAAAGAGTAGGCAGCACTAAAACCAACCTCTTTCATGGAGGTAAATTAAAAGAGTTTGACGGTAATATATAACAGAAATAATTATCTAACATACATATTTGATCAACTTACCAAAGGTGACACACAAGCACAGCCATAATGACCACGTCAGTCGAAACAACTCCATAGCTGTGAACAAAATACACAACAATATAATGTGTTCACGTTTCCTTTTAATACTATGTCGTAGAATATTCGCAATACTACGATTAATTCAAGATTGTCAATAAAAGAGACGCGTTTATTATAAACTGTGAAAACTGATGATAAAAATGAAGTGAAAACACGACAAAATGAACATAAATAATATACCTGCTACGGCTTGTGATCACGCTCCGAACCACAGCTTATTTATTTGACTAGTGGCCTTATAATAGCAATGCAGGGCTCGATATATGTAATATAATGCTCATTTGTGACGATGTTTCAATTGACCAGTATATCGGTTTTATGTAGATTTTTGTTTTCAAAGAACCATATTTTGCCGGAAACGTATACAATTACAATAGTTACTTTCGGCATTTA